ACCAGGAGGTGGGGGTGCAGAATCGTGAGGAGTCGTTGAATGCGCCTGTTGAACGGGCAGCCCCCCGGAATAGTATCCGCCGTTGATCCCCTCAGGGTAGCTGCTGGAGAAAGCGAAAAGAAATTGGCCACTTCGATAAATGCCTTTTACAAAGTGCCCAATCGATCTTAGGAAATCCAAAGGTTCGAACGCTTCTAACCACGTTACTTTACACACTCGATTCTCTTTCCATGTAATACGAGTTAACATCTGCTTGAAAATCTGTTTCTGTAAAAATTACGATATCTTTTTCCCCGGTGTAAGAGAAACAAATGCAACGATACTAAAAAAAAGTAATACCCTACGCTGATTTCTTTTTTTATTGATGTCTTTTTCTTTTTCTTTTTTTTTTTTTTCTTTTTTAAGTTAAGCTGAACTTTCTTTATTTAACATACGAACGAAGCTTACCCGGTCGAGGAAAGGAAGTATTCCTTGTTCACACAGTTTCGTAAGCAGTCGGGTATGCGACCAACGATAGCTCTTCGTATTTCACTGGCTGCCATCTCACGCAGTTCGGTGCAGCTTGCATCGCTGTAGAACGCTGCATGTGGTGTACACAATAGATTGGGTGCGTCTTTCAAAGGACCTATAGAACACATACAGAAATACGCTACTTTACTATCCCTTCAATATTCATGAATCAATTTTCACGCGCGCGCTTCGCATTAAGCAAATCCAATAATAGCGAAATCAAATTTGTATATATAAGCAATGTACAGTAATATACATGATTGATTAATGAACTCATTAATATTGAATACACTATAATACTATGTTAATAAATCATTAAGATATCGTCATGTAATTAACATTTCAGAGCATTGGATTATAAGAATGTTTCAAAAAATCGTTTTTGCAGACGATATCTTAAAACGTACAATAATATATTCAATATTATACTAATATAATAATTATCCGATTTGTATCGCTATTGTGCTTTATATCAATACTCGTCTGCTATCAATTTTCTCTCTGTAATTATATTCTTGCACACATATGTTTTGTTGTCGGTTATGTTGGATGTTGCATCAACTGCTCACAGTTATTAGCGATTATATTTATTTTTTAAAACTCTTTTCGTTTCTTCTGTATATCACGAGTGCAATGAAACAAAAATACCTGATTCTACACCTGATTTTTCTACACCTTGCAATAATTTATATTTATGATATGAGTAAAAATATATTCTTTCTATACTATCTATACATAAGAAAATTTGAAATTTAACATTTTGCATATCTTAAATATTTCTCTTTTTCTTTCTCTTTCTTTTCTCTTTCTCTTTCTTTTTTCTTCTTCTGAGCGTTACCTTAGTTGCATGAGCTTACATTATCCAATAGCGAAGAAGGAGGATCAAGATGATGAAGGAAAACGTTAGTTACGTGAGAGAGGGGTTAGGTGGTATGGATAGATAAAACTCACACTGCGATGACTGACCCTGAAAAACATTGTATGGCTCATTTTCGTGTACATCAAGTGCTGCTGCACGAATTCTGCCTTGTTTCAACGCTGCGGCCAAAGCGTCATCATCAACCAGACCACCCCTTGCTGTATTGACTAAGAAAGCGCCAGGTCTCATCTACGATACAAGAAGTTAATGTGAATAAAATACAAAAAAATACAGAATTTATCGCAGATAACTAATAATCTTTAACAAGGTTGTTTATCTGTATCATTATATATTGCATTGTTATTGCAAGATACATTTACAAAAAGGGAAGTAATTTTCCTATAAAAAAACAAAAAAAAAAACTTCAAATTTGGCCTGTAATACCTGTTTGATGGTGAATTCATTAATAAGATGATGATTGTGCTCGTTCAAGGTACAATGCAAGGATACACAGTCTGACTGGAATAGCAAATCCTGTAATAAATCATATAATTATAAGTTTTATAGAATATAACTGAGATTGCTACGCTATTACCTTAAAAAAAAAAAAAAAAAAAGACAAACGAAGAAAAGAAAGAAAAACAACAACAACATTGATATCAAACCTGTAATGTGTAGACCCTGTTAAGACCAAGAGATTTTTCAATTCCGTCTGGTAGGTAGGGATCATAAAAAATGACAGTGAAACCGAAGGCTTTGGCACGCAGGGCAACTGCAGAACCAATCCTGCCTAACCCAACTATACCAAGTGTGTCACCCCGTATCCTTGCACATCCTGTTGCAGCTTCCCTGACCTAGGAGACATCAAATATGAAATTGGACTTTTAATACTTTTGCTATGTAGCACAATAGATATACTATGCACATTTCAAAATTCTTACCTGTTCTGGACCTGTGAATTTCTTTCCTTCGCGTACCATGTTTGCCAACCAATATGTACGTCGATATAAATTTAGAATAAGACAAAGAGTAGTGTCAGCTACTTCTTCAACACCATATCCAGGCACATTGCACACAGCGATACCAAGTTCCCCTGCTGCCTTGACATCTATATTATCCACCCCAGATCCAATTCTAACAATGATTCGTAATGTTTTGAATTTTTCGAGATCTTCCTTTGTCAGAATTATAGTGTGCCACATTAGTGCACCTACTGCCTCATTTAATACCTACAGGAAGGTTATAGTAACATCTCGAATTATTATAATAATATAATATTATTATAAATATTATAAATAATAAAATAAAAGATGTTTCTTAATCAAAAGAAATTTTAATAACACAGAATACACATTTATAGATAGATAACTTACCTTTTCATGAATTTCTGATGTCGACTGTGCATCACAGAAGGCTACTGTTGCAACATCTTTGAGAATCGGCATTTCAATAGAACAGTCTCGACCATCTAACAAAGCCACTAATGGTCGTGTCTGAATGGGTCCATTTGCAATGGGACCCCTCAGGCTATCCATTCGAGGGCGTTTGGGCATCATCTTCCGTTTGTCCATCGGTCAAACAGCCCCCCCAATTTTTATATTTTTCACTTGTACTTTCAGTGTCACTAAGAATGTCTGCTTTCTTCCAAGGAAGTCCTACAGTCCACTGACAAGGAAGCCTCTGAGTATATCTTAAAATACAGTTTTGCACTTTTATGCTTTGTCACACAAATTGCTTCTCTAACACTGATTTCTGGTCGGTTTTTGGACAAGGACCGCCGAACCCCCAACGCATCACGACTTGTTGAACACCGTCTCCTGAAAATTTCAAATAAAATATCATTTAAGATATAAATCATTTGAAACCTGCCATACTTATATACATAACATAATAACATGTCTATTAATGTATGATGTTGCAATACAGTAATTAAAATATCGCTTATGCAAAGTCCACTAAGTAATAATAATGAATTAAAATTATTTATCATTTCGTAGTAATCGACTATACGTACATATTTTGCAGTTAACGTAAACAAAACTAAATTGTATTAGAATTTATTTTATAATATTTGATGTATAAATTATACATATTAAAAAGATAAAATTTGCGGTAAAATTTCTAAAAAAAAAAAAAGTGTTGCCAATTACATTTATACCTTCAATAATTAAAATATTAAGAAAGAAAGCGCAATACGTATGAAGTACGAACTTCGGTCAATAAACATACATTTCGACGCCTTCATGAATTTCTTCGTAGAAAAGAAATCCATGTGATACGTATGGTTGCGAATATTTCACTCACGGATGTAATATCATGCAATGAATAGTTCGGCAAGATATTGGTACTCAGTTAAGTGAGAAAATTTAGCATTACTTTATTTTACAGAAAGCGAAACACTTAACAGCGTGTACGAAACCGAATGTTTTAGGTTACCTTGAAACGCGCCGGCTTAACCTGCGCAGTACGCGTGTCCAGAACAGTGATAGAAGCGCTTGGAAAATATAAGAAGTTTCAAGAATATAACGTCGGTGTTATGTCAAACAAAAATGCGTATGAACTTTCTACACTTCGGTGTGAGACAGCGGTAAAAATTATTGCACAGGACACACCGTGTATCGAGAACGAAATTACTAGCTGGGGCAAATGTTTTTGGAACTGATAATAGAATGCCTGGCTTTGGTTAGTGGGTCGACGTTTTCAGCCCATTTTCGGCAGCAATTGTAAACCAATCATGATGCATTTGCACGCTTAATGTCCGATTAACTGCTTAGTAACTCATAAATTCCAGTTCTCAGAATCTTGGTATCTACTAATATGATCAATACGCAAGCAACTATACGAAAACAGAAAATATGTTCGATAAGAGTCGATTTAGTACCCGGTGCTTTTATATGGCGGAACGGAAAAATGCTGAACCAGCGAAGTTCCATAAGAAAGTAGAGAAACTGACACGTGGCGCCCTCGTCAGACGCCGTCACCACACGACAATTAACCAAGATCATCAAAAATGAATCAAACTTTCTTCAAAGTACTTCAATATGGTATTCTTGACAATTGGTATAACCTAGACTAGTACTACTTCCGTGTAGTGCTATAGAATATTCTCTGATGAACTACAATTCAAACAACCTTCTCTTCTCTGTTCGGAAATAGAAAATTCTACGTTACTTTAACTGCTTTATACTAAAGAAATTGCGAACAATCATACACTTATCGTCATACCCTACAATTAATTTTCAGAGCGCGTTAATAAATAGAAATCCATAATGCTAATTTTCTAGCCTGTTATGTCAACTATTTTTCTCATTCAGCTTTTTCATTGACACTCAACGACACAGATTGAGATCTCGTTTGTTACAAGTGCTCGCAGAGATTTGTTCAGTGAGTTTATAGTAGTTGGCCCGCCGTAGCAGAAACATTCTATGTGGTAAGGTTAATATAAGATAAATGATACACATTAAGAATGTTTAATCTGTGGGTCAATACACACAAGCAATCGGAAACACAGTCCGCAGAGAAGGCTACAAAATGAGATCGCTGCTGGCCTCAGCGAAAGCGAGGATGCGATACTAACGTAGAGTGCAAACCCAAGCACTTTGACTTGGGCACATGTTGTGCCAACTCAGCGAAAATGCAAGCTCATATCATCAAAAGGAGGAGAGGCAAGGAAGCGAGATTAAGCCCTTGTTCGACAGCTGGCAACGTATATCATACGTAATACACGTACAGTTCGTAACATGGAGGAGCAATGTATCGAGGAAGTGCGCCCCGAAAGAACATTTTTATTTGTTATACAGTTCCGCGCATGAATAAATGATTACGATGATGAAATATACCCAATGTTACTATGTTAGTTATAATCTTTACTTCCTCCTCGCATTTACGAGTAAGTAAATAAACAAATATTACAAGACCTAACATTCAAATCTATCTTTTTTTTTTTATTGTTTTCTAGATGATTTTTATGATATAAATTTGTATTATAAAATGAAGTTTTGTTAAAATTTTATCAATTAACAAAGTACTTAGAGGAGCCACGCATCACCTTGTATGTAATGTTTACAACTTATAAGGTTCGCTTGTCAATGTTCCTTACAGCAATGAAAGCTTCTCAAAAGTTATCGAAAGATATTCCAGAACGAGTTAAAAATTCATCGAGCTTTTAGAACGAACGTTTCGACTAAGCGGTCGAATTCAACCCTTTAGCTTAATCTCAGTGTGCAACAGAGTTTTTCGAGTTACAGATACAACGATGAAGGGTGGCGGAGAGGAAGGGGGTGGTGAGGGAGGTGAGGGAGATGAGGGAGGAGAGGGGAAAAGCAGAGCAAGGGTGGGGCAACGAAGCTGCCGGTGGGATGGGGAGCTATGAGGGCGAAGTTATCCAATTATTGTCTAACCTGGGAGCAACTTTACTTGGCGGAGAACCGTTGGTGGGAGGGAAGCTCGTCCTGCCAACTCTCTCCCTTCCTACAATCGAGCCACGATAAAGTAAAGTTTGTTTCAAAACTTACCGCGCGGAGAGGTGACTAGGTTTTTGTTAGTGACACGTGAAATTCAAACGACTTCAATGCGATAATAATCGCGGCAAATTTTTTTATATCGACCGGCAAGGAGAGGAGGTGTATTCAGATTCAAGAAGGATCCCATAAATTAAGTCAAAGGTTCATTAATAATACGATCGCTACGAAACTTTTTCAGCGTGAACGTTCAAGAATACGGCCACGTCTTATGAATATGTAATTAGACAAAAGGAGATATAGCTATTAATTAATTAAGAATTGCATTATCCTTAAGTTTAAATTTAACTAATCGCAAGTCAAGCTAAGTTACATTATATGTTTACTTTGAGCAGAGATTTCTGTTATTATATAATAAGAGTGTTAATATATTTGCAAAAGATACGTACATGCATCTTTTATTCTTGTTTCTTGAAGTCATACAATATAACGATATTATAAAGGACGGATGTGTTAAATATTCCGTGACAAATATTTCTATTAATATGCATAAGGAGTTAATTAGAATCAAACCATTTCGGTATAACAAAATCTTTATTATTTGAAATTCGGTGTTAGGAATGCTCATTGATAGCGAGCTAAAAATAAACAAGTCTATTAGGAAAGTGCACTAGCGATAACATTCGTTATAATGACGCATATGGCATCGTGGAAACCTTCTTAAAGCGATGTATTGTTAGCACCAATAGATACGTATTTTAGGTCAGTTTTAAACACAAATCACGTCATTATTTTAATTACTGTTCTAAATGAAGGAATTATTTTAGGAAAATATTTTAACTTCTCTCGTGTCTCTTGGATATATCCGGTATATTATGCACACGTAAATTTATCAGTTACAAATCAGAAATTTCAGAAGCTCAGAAGTTTCATTTAATTAACCAAAAACCAAAGTCAATCTTCACGTTGCAAAGAATAAATTTTCCTTGTAACAATACATGTTTATCGATAAATGCAAACGAAACAAGGAATTCGTTCAAATTACGAAATAAGAATAAAGAACACGAAAGAAGATACTCGTCCAATTAAGATGATAAAAATCGACGCGCCATCTGCGAGCCATCGAGAAACAGGACAACGCGGCCTCCTCTTTGTAGAAACAAAAATCGGTTGTACTCTGCGCAACGAACAACAGACGCTTAAATAAATACCCGTGCCTGAAAAGAGAGCGAGAGTTTGTTCTAAGTTGTAAATGTAAAAAACGAACGAAAACGAAAAAGAGCAAAGCAAACGGGGTGGTGTGCGTGTGTGTGTGTGTGTGTGTGTGCGCGCGCGCGTGTGTGTGTGTGTGTGAAAGAGAGAACAGTAAAAAATCTGTCGAGTACTAGAATGGAGAAAGGAGCAGAAGAAACTTGTCCAATTATGATGACGAGTATCGGTGTCGGCGTTCGGGCATTCTCATCCTTGGGCACAACGAAATGGTCGGCAAAGGGGTAAAGAGAGGGGCTGTTGCTCTGGTACCTTCCGCCTCCACGTTCGTCTCTCCAGCGGGCAACGAGCGAACGGCCATGAGTGTAGAAAGGCAGGAAGGGAAGGAGGAAAGGGAGAAGGAGAAGAGGAGAGGCGACTACTTAAAGTTGGCGGAAAGTTTGGTTCGGCAGCAAAGTTAACTCAGTTAAGTTCTCCGCTCCTAAAGCGAAACTTCGGTTCTCCAACGCCTGCCCTGCCAGCCTGGTTGCCTGCCTGCCTCTGCCTGGCTTGCTCTCCATCCTCTCTCCTCTCTCCTTTTCCTGCCGTGTGCCTTCTCCCTTTCTCTGTCTCTCCCTTCGTCTCGCGCCCGTGCTTCCTACTGTCTTGGCCATTCTTCCTTCCTTCTATATCCATTCCTACGGTGCTCCACGAATAAGCAATGTGTTTTGGAATTATCATTTTTCCGCAAACTTTCGTCACGATGTTTCGCCGTGACGATCGATTGGCATCGACCCGCGCGCGACCGGTGTCACTCTCGTTTACCTTCTGTGCTACTCTCTCTCCGTGCACCGGTCGCGTCAATCTGCGGCCTAACCATTTAGGCCCAGACCCAGGCCATCCATTTTGCAACTGGAACGAGACGTTTTCACGTATGTACACGCGGATGCGGGTACGAGGGGCAAGATTTCTTTTTTCAGAGCTTATATTCCCTCGAGCTGTGAGTGTTTGAAGAAAATTTAGCAGTTTCATGTGCCCGTTCTTAAGAGTGTCGCTCTTAAGATGATTTGCATAAATTGTTGAGCTTTCGCATGGATATAAAGTTTGAGGTGTTAAATTTAAATGACGTAATTAAGACACTTAAGTCCTTTTCGTACGACTATCATCAATACGATCAATACATGATTCATATGTATGGTGTATATATAAAATTAAGATTATTATATGAATTGTTAAAAGATTAAACATTTTGAAAAGATACACTTTATTAGATATAAGCCTTTGTGATTATTTCTTGTAATATTTCTGCATAAGAGTTCAAGGTCAGTAATTTATAAATTGAATTCCTTTGCTACCGGTTAAAGATTTCAAAACACAGTATAAAATTTCACGTGAAAATGGTCAAAAGTAAAAGTGACTTGGAAACAGCTAGGTAAAGCCTGTAAACTTCGACGAAACGTTTCAGGAAGAAAGATGTTTCTCCCACTTCCCTGAGAACTCTGCCCCCTCCCGCGGCCAGAGTGGCAGGCAACGATCGAAATTCCAAGACGAAGTTTACGAGATTCCAAGGAAAGCGCGAGTTTCGCTTGCGTTCATCGTTGCCTTTCTTCGCGTACGTACGTGTATAGGAGCTTGTAAGCATCGTTTTGTAACAGACACCAGTCAGCATCAACCGCGTACTGTCCCTCCTTTGATGGTACGCCAGAGCAAAAAAGAAACCGGTCGAGTCGGTACTTACGAAGAGGTTTAGCTTTCAGGGTTCATGTATGTATGTACATAGTTTGAAAAGAAGTTACGACCGTTCTCCTGGCCAAACGGAGGGAAAGAACTTTCCTGCGCCAATAATTTTTTGGAGCAAAAAATTATTCAGACGTGGAAAAGAAGCAGTTTCGTATTTAGGTGTTTTAACTAAATTGTAAATGGTTTCGACGTTACGCAAACGTTATTTCCTGGTACTTCTTGCACTATTCAACTAATATTATCAGCAAAATTTTACCAATCGCGACTTGCAAGTTATCAATGCTCTCACTAATAAATTCTCTTGGATAACAAGTCTAATAAAATAGTAAAACAAGCAAAATTCTACGAACGAACTTAGCAAATTATTCGACATAAAATTGTAAAAATCGTTTGTGCAGTGAAAGCTTGTAACAAACAACTCATTACTTGTCAATATACTAATATTAACAATTAGTAGTTTATTAGTATTATTAAGCTATTAAATTATATCGATCTTTGACATTACATATATTAAGTATA